AGGGCCCAGCTCGGGCGCCGCGCGGCGGCCAGGCCGGGCCCCATGAGCAGCGCTTCCCTCAGACAGTGCGCGGCTTTAGAGAAAACAAGCTTAGCTTATTAGCACCTCCTAATTACATTAACCGCTTTACTTTCCATTTAGGTTTTAAATTATGCAAGACCTACCCTGACTCTCTAGCTGTCGGGTTTCGGGCCCAGTGAAAACACGGCGACTGCTGTGGTATCGGAGCCCTCTGACAAAGAGTGCTGAGCAGGTCCCCCTAGGCCCAAAACATGCAGCCATGGTTTATCAAATTTGCAAAAAAAAAAACAAACCAAAAAACCCAACACCTGCCAACACTAAATAAGAAAAAAAAAATCTCCGCTTAGACCAAGCACGCCCAAAAGTGAAGTGTCTAGGCCAGGATTATATTATGGAGAGTTGAGAACCACACATTTTTACAAGGAGAAGAGGTTCTCCCAGTGCTTGTTTAGAAAAGACTGGGGGGGTGGAGTTTTTTTATCTTCTACTCCAACAGATTTTGAGCCCAAGGGCTCTCAGCCCATGAACAGCACTCTTCGCAATGCTAACACAAGTTATTAATGTGAAGGACCAAGAAGAAAGGAGGATGCAGAAAAATAGACGAGTTCACCAACTTTTTCCTCTTTCCCCCAGTATGTCTTTGAAAGCCTTCTAAGCACAGAAGAAAGGAGTAAAGCAGCAGACCAAATCTTCTGTGAGGCATAGGCAGCAGATGTAATGTCTATAAATAAAGTGCAAGTGCTCTCACTGTAGACACCCATTTGCAAATAGCTCCCACATCCTTTTCCAAGCTGCTACTCCCAACCTACCCTCCACTTAACATGAATCATTGCCAGGCCCACCTATGGTGCAAATCAATACACAATGTTTCTCCTTTATCCCTTCCAACCTTTCCTTCTGTTGTACCCTCGTTAGTACTAGATGCTTTGGCTAGAGTAGTTACTGTGCCTGATAAAGTAAATCCAACTTGAGAAGCAAGAGACTGAAGCAGAGGCCTCAAAACAATGAATTCAGTGAAAGTGAGAACTGCTGCTCTCAGAGAAGTCCTCTGAGCACATGCTTTAAATTTACAGAGAGAATGTCACTATTTTAAAAACAGCACATCTACTTTTAAAGTCCGAATTGCAGGCAGTCAATGGTGAAATAAGAGAAACATTTGATCCTTCTGCATTTATGCATTTGCTTTGCTTGTATGCATGCAGGAGAACAAGTGTCTACCCCTGGGCATCAAGGATGGTTAATGGCATTGGTTCCAGAAGGGCAATCTAGAAAATACAGGAAGCAAGAATATTAAGCTAAATGCATTGGACAGTTAAAGGGATTCCACAAAAATAGCAACTTCCTGGAAACAGCCTACAATGTGTTATGGATATGAAAAGAAAGCAGAGAGCAAGTCTTTGAGCACAGGCGAGTCTCTGCACTAAGGCATACATATACGCTTGTTAACCTGGAAGTGACCAAGCATGCTCAGCAGAGATGGCCTTCTTGGAAAGTGTTATTTGCAAATCCAAGCAGGTGAAAAACCTCGTTTAGTGGCTTACAGCTTGAACAGAAGACAGCGTTAGTTTTCTGTTGCTTTCATGGAACACTAGGTGCTCATCTGTAACACAGTCCTTCTGGCAGAGAAGTGTTAACCATTGTTACTTTTATAGACCACATTAGCTGCCAATATGAAATACCGTATATCTCCATCTGGTGTCAAGTCCTGCACCAAGATCTGTTAACTGCTTCACTAACTAAGAGGAGAAGCTGTACCTAGTAACAGAACACAGCCTTACCCGAACACAAGCTCGGTAGATTGGCAGCTGACCCACACAAGGCATGGCAGTGGTTTTGGCTGTTTTCAAGTCATGATGCAGCTCTTTGTAGCAAGCAGTAAAGTAGGACATACAGGCAGATCTGGTTTAACAGACTCCATTTACTATTTATCAATTATCTTCCCTATAGATCTGTTCAATAAAACTATACTTTGTATAATAGATTACTTCATTGCAGGTACTGCACAGTCTATATTCATCTGGGCACCGTGGAAACAAGATAGCAGGAGGTTACTGTCTTTTTTAAAAAATATATCATTTAGCACAATTAGACCCAGCACAAGAGAATACTAACCATTTTAAATGGATAATCTCATTTAAATGTCCACAGCCATCTCATTTCAGCTCTGGCGGATTTCAGCTGATCTAGTGGATTAGAGAGTCCAGAGTATTACTGGAGAGGGCATAAGGAAGGCCTCCTCTCTGCAACACGCTCCCTTCGGCTACTGGCCTCCAAAGGCATTCAGTGGGTCATCAAATGCGCTCAGTGTCTTGCTTTCAGATTTTGCTTCTGAAGCTGCTTGGGAAGATCTGCTTTTGGGAGTGGGTATCTTGACTTGGCTGCTAGAGAAGATATCATCTAAAGGGGGGAAAAAGAAAAAAAAAAAAAGAAAAAGATTTTAATATGAAGTAACTGCCAAACAGAAGTAACATTGTACATAGGAGTCTCCAGCACACAGCAGTGACTGCCAAGGACATTCTGTGATAAACAAATGCTTTCCTGGTACTTGTGATTCTGGATGCATTTATAAGGACATACGTGGGAGCAGTTAGCTCTAAGTCAAATTAAGAAAATTTTTTTTTTCTCCTCAGCAGAGCAGCATAATAGTTGTATTTTATAACACATTCAAACTCTCATAAACATTTGCAAAGTACTTATAAATTAAACCTCCACAACAAATTCCATCATGCAAGTGCCAGATAACATCTTATCTACATCCCTCTTATCTGAGGAATCTGAGAGATCCAAGAGCTGTAAGGTTGTTGCCAAAGAAAATTAGAGGAGGAAAAGATGGTACTTGCTAGTGACTACTGTTGAGATGTCCATCAGTCATATGAGAGTCTTTAATCTACAGCACAACAAGAACACAGCGTAAATCACTTGAGAACAGCTAAGATGCAAGGAGGCAGACAGCAACAACTGCCGTCCCGCTGTCTGCAGTCCTGAATAAAGATCTCCCACCATCTTCCTCAATACAAGCCTTTCTGGTATGAATAACTAGGACCACAAAGTGGAAAAAGATCATGTTGCTATTCAGACAGAATTCTCTCCTGAAGGGTAACAACAGGCAGAAAAAAACCCCTCCAACCTGGATACCCTGTACCAGCAGCAGAGCTCAGCCCCACAGTTCTTGCTGAGGCCAGGGCTGCCTGCGTTTAGGGCTGTGCTCATGGAAAGAGATGAAGCTGCTACCAAACACATGGTGAAAGTTTGCCCTGAGGTTTCCTGGTCACACACAACAGTGTATCTCTTCCTATGCTTAAAAGTTTTAAATTTAAGATATACAGATCATGCAGTTGGATTATGAGGGAATGAAAAAAATTTACAACACTGAGATACTTGGATCACTTCTGGTTTGCAGGGCCAGTATAAGTAACACATAACGGGTCCTGAATCCTTACTAAGAAAACACAGGTCTTGGACAGATTTATTAACCTTATATAGAGGTTAATAGCCGTTTAGTACAGAGTATAACTAGTATTTCAGCCTTCAGCACATATCCTAACCTTGAGCAGGGCCAAGCATGAAGTGGCCTATCACAGCCTTTCTCTTCTCACTCCTTCTTCCACTCCAGAATGTGTCTGCTACTGTGCTGATCACAGGGATTACACAGGAATAATCCAGGACAGCATTTTAGCACAAAAGCAGTTTAGAAAGGCAGTAAAAGAGAGTAATCCCCTACTGGCATCACTCCAAAGCAAGAAGCTATCACATGGATTAGCTTCACAGCAGAGGGGAAGTACAGTGAGAGCCATACACAGTAGAGGTATCACAGCCATTTTACAACAAGGCTTAAGGAATAGGGAAGTTTTTGCTGTGGAAAACAGTATTTGCTAATGCACGAGAAGGCTAAGTCACCATTTTGCATCTGCAGAAGTGACATCAAGATGTTTGTGTCATCAGCCAAAAGGAGGCTATGATAGAGACCTGAAAAAGTTTTTCCAATACAGCCACTGAACAGAACTGGTTTTGTTTAGCTTAAACCAGGAGTACACTTTGCATTATTTCGCATTACTATATGCTGCTTTTTCACTAATTATACAGGACAAACTTCTGCTGTCAGGTGTAGTATTTGTAAATTGTTCTGGGTATACATAGATGTAAACAAAATCTTATGGGTTCCAAGGTAGTCAACACAATAGTGAAGGTGGGGTGGGACAAGATGCTCATTTCTTCGTCGATCAGTGATTGATCTGAAAGTACGATACAAAAAGACATGCAAATTGAAATAGAGAATGTATCTCGGACCACAACAACATGAGATTACTCTCTTACTCCGGACATAAGAAATGTCAAAAAATCCGTACAGGAATTAAACTACTCATGCTCTCAGAAAAATTTTATACACCCTTTTAAAACACTTAAACGCTGTGCTAATTCTACAAATCTAGGAAGTTGTCATCCAAGGTTGAAGACCAAAGACGGTCAGAGATTTCAGAGCAGTTGGAAAGTTAAAAAAAAGCAAAGGGTTCTAAAACATCTTTGATGAATGCAACTCAGGACAATACTATGAGATTAGCAGCAAGACAGACACTTACCCATATCATCATCAAATATGGATTTTTGTTCCACCTTTTTCTTGGTGGTCTTTTCTTTTGGTTTTACAGTAAGATCCGCAAAAATATCAATGTTATCGTCAAACAGGTTGGTCTCTGGCATTTTCTCTTTTGCTTTGTTCACTGGTTTAATTGCCTCGGTAGCAAATATATCATCCTTGGAGAGAAAAATAGAGATCAATACACAACACACCAAGAGAGTAGTCAAATTATCTATACACAGCAGCTGAGATGTTTAGAAGACTGACAGCCTTGGGCTTCTCAAACCCGAGAAATTATACTCGTTTGTTTGCTAATCTGAGTCTACCAGATTTTAATGATTGTGATTGTGAGTGCAGTTATCTTGCTCAAAAGGCTGAGATTTTATTGTTAATAATGATGTTAATGTTGATTTTTTCAGATCTGTTTATGTTTTGGCAGTTAAGTAAGCATTGGTGTAGGACAGTGACAGACACTGTAGCCTCTGTCACTCAGTCTGTATCAGCAAAAGTCGCCCCTGTGACTAGAAAGAAACAGCGGAAGAAGTCAGTTGCCCTACGAACAGATGGCACAGATCCAGCACAAGGTACTTCTACAGTGGCACCATCAGAT